TGTTTCTTCTTCTTCTGCCTTTCTAGCCCCCAATGGAGCATAGCTCTCAGCCAACTCACGCCAAGTTGTTCTCTCTTTTTGCTATCAGATGCAGCTTTCCCCATTTCCTCCCTATCTTTCTAAATTCATCCTGTGGGTTCCAGTGCAAAGACATTCTAGTTATATTCTTCTCCGTTTTTCTCAATGCGTATCCTATCCAACGCCAGCGTCTTTTCTTCACTGGAGCTTGCTTAGTTCTCTCTCAAAGCTCTACATTAGTGATTCTATCATACAATTTAATTTCCTCTATTCTGCGCAGGTACCAGTTAATGAATGTCTGTACTTTATTAGTAATTGCCTTAGTTGTTCTCCATGTTTTGGCTCTTTACAAAAGTAATGTTTTGACATTAGAATTAAAAATTGCAAGTTTAGTATTTCTTTTAATGTCTTTTGACCTCCACAAATTCCCTAATGGTATAAAAGCTCCTCTTGTTTTTTGTTTTCTTATTGTAATATCTCTATCAGTTCCCGCATCTTTAACTACATTACTGCCCAAAAAAGTGAACGACTTGGAATGGTGTGCCATCCGTTAATCTGTTCCCAGCTTTAAAAAGAAAATCCAATAATGAAAAATGACTACTTTTACATAAGGAAACCGCCATAATATAGCGGCTAGATGCTACTCTGATGATCGGAAGGTTGTAGGTTCAGATTTTGACCGAGCCGGATTTTTTTTTTTTTTTTTAATGTTTCTTCGTCTGGGATTGTATCTAGTATCTAAGATGTCGATGGCTGTTTCTTTTCCTATGATTGTATCTGGTGTCTACATCTGTTTCCTCTTCTGTGATTTTATCTAAGTTGTCTATGGTTATTTCTGTTCTTGGGATTGTATCTGGTGTCTACGTATGTTTCTTCTTCTGGGACTGTATCTAGTGTTTAGGATATTTCTTTTCCTATGATTGTAACTACGTCTGTTTCTTTTTCAGGGATTGTGTCTAAGATGTAAGATGTCTATGGTTATTTCCTTTCCTATGATTGTATCTGGTGTCAAGGTTGTTTCTTTTCCTGGGAGCGTATCTAGTTCTTAGACTGATCAGTCCGTGAGTGTTGTGTTTAGATTTCTACATATAAGTATTGTTGGAGTTTTTTATGTTTTATTTTCCTCAGATTGAACGGCTTCGGATCTTAAAAACCCCCCTTTTTTTTTTAAACTGAAAATGTATCTAGGATGAGGATGGTCATTCTGTGAAGATATTTTCAAGAAATTTAGCTCGCGCTCGGGGAGTTCGAGTTTCTTGGAATAGCGAGTGTGGGTCTTTTGGAGATCTTTGGGGCATTGCTGAAGCTTGGGAATCCAAACATTGTGCAACCCTTTCGGTGTGAGGTAAGAAGGAGAGAGGAAGAGAGTATATCCTGCGCAGTCACTTCGAAATCAAGCATAGAATCTAGTCCAGCCCCTTTGGCGTCTCAAGTCAACGTTAACTTTTTGAGTTTCCCTTGCACGTCTTCGTATCCTCATTCGTCCTATTTCCAGTTTCAATTCCTAGCTAAAGCACAATCGTCCCAATATGGGACGCAATTGTTGGTTATTTTTAACGCCCCATTCCGGCTGTTTTCGGGAGCCCTATTTTAACCTAACCGTTCTTCGGGGTTTCTGGGACTTGCGCCTGGGTGATTCTCATCCGAATGATGGCATTTTGTGTCACCAAGTGTTTATCGCTCGGTGTGCGGTCCTGGTAGGGTTGAACTTCATTCATTCATTCTATGCCTGTTTGGTGATTCTCTGATTGTTTCTTTGCAAAATGTGTTTAATATAGCGCCATCTATCGGTCGTCCTCGTGTGCGAAGCAATTTTTCCTTATTTTGAAGCCCCACCTTGGCTTTTGCCGGGGGCCCTGAATATAGCCAGGCCATAAATATGGCCGCACGGCTGAAAGGGGTTTCTGTGATATCTCCACGGGTGATCCTTATCCGCATGGTGGCACTTTGTGTCTCCGGATGTTTATCGCTCTGTGAGGTAAATTAGAGAGAGGGAGAGAAAGAGAGAGAGAGAGAGAGAGAGAGAGAGAGAGAGATAGCGCCATCTCATGTTTTAAAACTGAGGATACTAGTGGTTACTCAGACAAATTATTCCATTTTATGTTTACCATTTTTTTCAAGCATTTTTTTCCTGAATGCATATACTTTAGTTGTTTTCCAGCTTTCACTGCCATATGTTAAAATTAAAATAACATTAGAAGTGGAAATATATGTTACTTCTTCTTCTTCTTTCGTTCGCCTGAAATAAGTTGTCTATATCAGCAATGTTGTCTCTGGTATAATTGCACTGTCGTTGTTAGTTCATTCAGTGGTCCATAGAGTTTATTTATGTTCCACTGTTGTTCTTTCTAGCCAAAAGGTTTGCCTTAATGTGTCAAAATCGGTGCAGTCCTGGAGTACATGCTCTGCTGTCTGGGGCACATTTCCACAGGTGCACATGGCTTATACACTTATCTTGAATTTTGTGTACATGTGGCTACGTAATCGGTTGTGCCCTGTTCTAAGGCGGAGGATAATGACTTGTTCTGATCTGTCCATAATAAAACAGTTGTTTTGTGCTGGGGCTGGTGGTTTCCTGATCGATTTAATGATTCTTTTTTTTTTTTTTTTTTGGTGGTTTGTGACTGGTATATCTGGCTGCAATTATGTCGCACCTTCCCCTGCCAGTTGATTAGCTTTCTCATTTCCAGGCAGTCCACACTATGACTGTATCCACTGCATTACGACTCTTCGCTGAAGGCTAAGTTGTGTCAGCAGTGTTTGTAATTCTGGTAGTTTCCTAGACTGGAGTGCTTCAAGTACTAAGATTTCATCTGTCAGCATTACCACATACTGTGAGCCAAGACTAGTATTTAGTAGTTTCTCTGTTGCTATCTTGATAGCCTGATTTTCTGTATCATAGTTATGGCAGTACTTCCCGGTTGGTACGCTGGACTTATCCCTAGTACCATTTGGGAATTCTATGTACACTCCAGCACCACCATTTCTAACTGCACTTTTTGCGGACCCATCTGTATAGACTCTGACCCATTGTTATTGTGGGTATTCTTCATCAATATAACTGAGGGTCGTCATTCTGCATTGTACACTATCTTATATGTTAGTTTGTTCAAAAACTATATAATTTAGAGTTTCATACTTTCTTCAAGTTTCTACAACCTGTTGGAGCGTGTCATAATTTGTTTCTTTGTGTGTGTTTCTCTCTCTCTCTCTCTCTCTCTCTCTCTCTCTCTCTCTCTCTCTCTCTCTATCTCTCTCTCTCTCTCTCTCTCTTGTTGTACTCCACCAGGACATCACACAAGCGATAAACACCCGATGACACAAAATACCACCATGAGGATGAGGATCATCCGTGGAGAGGTCCCGGAAACTACGTTCTGCCATTAGACCATATTTATTGCCGAGCTATATTGCGGCCCTTGTTAAGAGCCAGGGTGGGGCTTCAAAATAACGAAAAATTGCAACTCACAAGGAGATGACTAGTAAGTTACATAATTTAAGGATTTAAGGGTAATCCAATTAAGCACTCTTTTATCTGCCACTGGCCACCTAACTTCACTTAACTCTAAAATATCTAGTTGGTAGCTTTTTTTTTTTTTTTCTGCTACCATGATGGATTATGTTGCCTGCAACATAGTCTTAGCATTCCAAAAACATGGTGATTAGCTGTTAGCTAAACGGTGTGCATGTCTGGCCACTAACTTCCGCAGAGCGGCTTTCATCTGTAATTTATCATACATGCACTATGTGCACCACACAGAACTTGGCTCATTTGTTTACCAGAATGGCTTCTTCCTATATTTTTATTAAGCACATAATTATATTTTTACAGGTGGGAGACCAGTCCCACGTCCACCCTCTTTCTTTCTGATCCGGGCTTGGGGCTGGCAATGTCAGCTTGTACTTTCAACTAATTCTAACCAAGACGAATAAATTACAAATAATATATCAAAATATTTATATAAACATTCACGGATAGCTAAATTTACAAACATTTAAAAATGGAAGTAGTTTTTAAAGGATACGTTGAACAGAGGCTCTTAATCGCGAAATTCTTTTACCTCTCCGTGTAAAGCAGAGGTTCTAAAGCTGGGTGTCGCTGGACCCTGTGGTGCCGCTAGCGTTTGCCAGGGGTAAAGCGGCAAAAATCAAGAATAGTCGGCTACAAATTGTGACATTATTAAAGAAGACATGAAGATACTTGAAAGTTACAATTTAAATATTCTTTTCTCGCCATTGTCGAAAAGAGTTTATTCCTTGTTTCACACTCAACGTGTATCATACTGCATAAAATGCCAACCGCAACGTGCTAAGAACTGTCCTTGTATTTATCTCTAAGTGCGACCGATCCTCCATCTGTATTTGTGAAGGTGCAGTGGATAAGCAAAGTTGTGATTAAATTTCGGCTGACATTTTAAGGTGGGAAATGTGATCTGTACAGCAGTAACTGATAGCTTGTTAAAGTAAATATTGCTTACAAGAATATAAAGGTGCCTTTAAATTACATCGAATGGCTGAGCCAACGATGACTGAAATGTGAATTCGGTTGCATTTGTTCATGTTTGGTTTTGTTTCGGTTGGGCAGTACGTAAACTGACATGGAAGTCTTCCTAACGGCTGCTTTGTTCCGTCCAAATTAAAGAATCATCTGGAATGCAATGATTCTGATTTTGTGTATGACTGCTGAGAAATGTTCAAACGCTGCTATATATCTCTTCGGGGAGGGTCATACTTGATAGAGAGCATTTCTCAAAATAAAAAGGAAAAGGATATAATGACAAATTCATCCAAACAGTTTCATCAATCGCATTAAAGACAACTGAACATTAAATCTCCAAAGTTTCCCCCGCCCCACTTTCTTTTCCTAGTTTTTCAACCGCTTTGAGTGTGCCGCGAATTTATTGTTAGCCCCACATGGGTGCCGCGGCGAAAAAGTTTTAGAACCCCTGATGTAGAAAGTAGAGGAGTAGAAGTAAACAAACATGGCGGACGATACTGTGGTTGTCATTCAGAAGGAGCTTCCAATGGCTGCATTCCCGGCAATTGCAGACATCAGAAGACAGGGACAATTGTGCGATGTCACTTTGAAAGTGAGATTTAGTAACTAGGTGCTTGTGCAGAAGGTTAAATATGTCTTTGTATGAAAGTGAGTAGTGAGATTTAGTCACTGGGTGCTAACTTGTTACTTCTGGCTTTTGTATGGAATAGAAATTCTATTAGAATCAAAAGTCATCGACTTTCACATCAAGTGAACAGTCCAGTTGAACACCCAGGCAGATATATGGAAGATAGAGTAGAGCATCAGCATCCATATCTGGAGAGACTGATTTCGATAGGAGTGAGAAGAGGATCTGGACGATATTATTTCCCTCAGGGGGATAAAACGAGAAGTTTTTCACTTGCACTCATCAATTCAATTTATCAAACATCAATATCAGGCTGACATGATCGTAAAAAAAAAAAAACCAGTGCTCTGTCCACCTATGGAAACTTCTCTACTAGACCAGCCGCTAACCAAGACTAAGGACCTGGTCTGCTCTGCAATAACATTTAAGTTTTCACCTTGTATGTCATCTTATGAGGCCCGGAAGAAGTTGTTGTATTTATTATACCCTGCTGTTTGTTGTTGTTGTTGTCTTTTTGTTTTTTTTAATCCCCCAAACCCCACATAGAGACGGTAAAACACTGAAATACTACATAGCCTAATAATTTCAGGTTGCCGACCAGAAGTTTTCAGCACATCGTATCATCCTGGCTGCCACGATCCCCTACTTCCATGCCATGTTTACTCACGACATGGTGGAAACCAAACAAGCAGAGATCACCATGGAGAGCGTGGAGCCCAGGTAATTTTCCTCAGCTTGATTAATATTTATCTTCATCACCACGTGCCTTGTAGCATGGTCTCTACAACACTGCCCAGGCTAGGGTTAGGGTTGTGCAACGGAAAGAAAATTCTTAGAATACCATGGGTCAAGAATAAGAAAAATATTGACATCCTACATGATCGGAGCATCGAGGAGAATGGGCTCATACACAGCATCCTGTCCTGAAAACTGAGGTATTTTTTCCATGTTAAACTTTCTGGTGGCCAGGAGAGAACGGGCATGGAGGGTACAGTTTCCCGAAAATGAGGCAGAGGCAGACCATCACGATGAGAATACAATACATTTGCATTGGCCAGATAAGAGCACATAGGGCAGGAGAAAGCAAAGTTTTCGGGTGTGCCATCATAAGAGTAACATTCTGTAAATGACCTGTTGATTGATTACGGGTCTTCATCCCTGTCCTTCGTTCTTAATGCAAGCAAGGTCTTGCTAGTCACACTTTTATCGCCATGGGGCGTGATTCTCATTCCTCCCTGTAGTCCAGTATAACACTATTGTCTCCAGGCAAATAGGTGCCAGTCATATGAGCCATACTGATCCCCATGGGCGGTTATTGTTCGCCATGTAATATAATCACCAGAGTCTTAGATAAACCTCAACTGCAGTATTCCTGCCGATTTCCATCGGAAACCAGCTCCCTACAAAATCTTACTTCTCCCTACAAAATCGACTAAAATTTTACTGCTTGTGCATACATTTGTTCAGCAATACCATTTTCTATCTGTCTTCCACGACAGTGCCCTTGAAGCTCTGATCAACTTTGCCTACACAGGCCGTGTGGTGATCGATGGCAACAATGTCCAGTCACTGCTGATCGTGGCCAGCTTTCTCAACATGCAGGCGGTCAAAGAAGCTTGCAGCAACTACCTCAAGAACAGGTATGCAGGTAACAGTAAGGGACTCTTAACATAACGTGGTGCACTGGGCACGTGTTGCTTAACCAGTATTTGCTTAAAACAAATAGCATGTGGCAGGTGATGTGGTTAACAAAGCAGCATTACCTAGGACATTGCCTGTTTACCATTTTAGTCTAATTTGACCTGGAAGTCAAAGTCATTTACATAAAAACTGCCTCACTGCAGACTAGAACTCAAGACCTTTAGCTTTGGCTTTTAGTTCGGGAGCGTGGGGGGGGGGGGGGGATAGACCCACTGTTCCTTAAGAAGCAACTAAAGTTTTGCTGAAATTAGATATGTTGGGCTGAAAGGTACAGATATCGCATTCTAGCTGTAATCTACAACACACACACAATGTATAAACTGCCTGTTTAAAGATGAACACAGAAGAAAAAGTTGTATATTTTGTTTGGTCAAATCAATGGGAGTGTGATGGCCCAGTGGTCGTGTAGCTGAAACCTGCAAAAAAGATGAACAAATCCGCCGTCCAAGCCACTCGAATAGTGCGATACAGAAGGCTACAACCTGGTCTCAGTGATATAACAAAAGAAGAAGCCCTGTTTTCTCTCATGGGGTGACTCTCCTACCACTTTGTGAAAGCCATAAAAACAGTCTTTTTCTATTCCCCCATGTGGGTTCCGGGGCCCCATTGTGAGGAAAACGAGAATAGACCCACTGCCTCCCCAAAAGCATGTCGTAAGAGTCGACTAACTGGGGAGCTTCCTTTGAAGTCGGAGTGCATCTGCCGGAGGGGCAAGGAACCAACAGTCTGTATTCAAGAGAATGAGATCTGTAAAACTGATGCACACGCAACACTCAGCTTCTGGAGCAGGACTGCAGTTCAGTAGTGGACGAGCAACCAGAACCTTCCGCCAGAGTTTACAGCTGGTGAATGCGAAGAAGAAGAAGAAAGTCTTTTTCTAAACTTCCAGCCATGGATGTGAACCTTGATACATGAAGTATTGGATTACAAAACCATCTCACTAACCTCTAAAGCTGTCTTTACCACCTTTTTTTTCTTCAGATTGCACTCCCCCGACCCCCCCCCCCCCCCGACCCCCAAATTTCCCAAATATATGGCAAGACTTCCCCTCCTCCTGCCCCTTTAAAAATTGGTCCTTTTCGAATTTTAATGGCAGATGTATAAATTGTTCATAAAAGTAAAAATGTCTTTTATAACTAGTTTGAAAAAATATGTTACTTATAATTAAACTGAAAAAAAATGTTAATATATTTTATTACAAGTACAAATGTACTCCATTTCAAAATTGATTGAGGCCCTTCCCCTTTTTTTCTCTGAAACTTTTATGCACCCCCATTTTCAAGGTTCAAAAACCTCTGCTCTAAAGCTACAGCACCACTTGCTGAATTTAGTTGTTATTTGTATCTTTAGCAATCTGACAGCCCGAGAGAGAGAGAGAGAGAGTTCAGAATATCTGGGCACTCTGACAGCAGAGGGAAGATAGATTAAAGAGATGTGTATGATACAGCGACTTCGGGGGAGGAGCACCTTAAGGAAGATACTAGCTCATCTTAGGAGGATGACATGCACCCTGAAAACTTACATGTTACTTCAGAGCAGACCAGGCCCTTAGCCTTGGTTAGTGGCTAGTCTAGTAGGGAATTCCGACAGGTGGATACACAGAGCATTACTTTTACAATCATGTTGGCTTCTACAGCATGCTTTATTCCAGACATATTGGTTTTACTTGTTTTGGAACAAGCCGAGAGGAAAAAAGCTGCATGGCCAACCAAGGTCTCTACAATATTGCCCCCTGTTTGGAGAGGTGAAACTTAATCCCTGGCTCTCATTGGTCTTGGAAACACTTGCCACATCCATGGGCTATGATTCTCATGCCTGCATATCTCTTTCAGTACCAAGAAATACCATGCATGTATTAGAATTACCAAGAATGATGTGCCTTTCTGAGCGCCTTGTGCTAAAGCCAGCTGTAGCTTTAACATATCCTGTTCCAGTTGTTTCTTTATACGTTTTGAGCGCCATATGCCATACACAGCTGTAGCTTTAACATTTTTTGTCACAATTGTTACTTCATGCCTTTCTGGGTGCTATATGCTAAACCTAGCTGTAGTTTTAACATATTCTATCCCAATTGTTACTTCATTCCTTTCTGAGTGCCATATGCTAAACCCAGCTGTAGTTCTAACTTATCCTGTTCCAATTGTTACTTCATGCCTTTCTCAGCACCATGTGCCATACGCAGCTGTAGTTTTAACATATTCTATCAAGATTGTCGGCATCTGTGGCTTAGGCGTTGCGAATGCGCTTCGTAATATCGGGGAGCCCGGTTCGTTCCTAGCTTTGCGCCTTGCGTTGGTTTCGACAGTAATATCGAGAAGCCGACCGTCCAGAAAGCAATTGCAAACTACTGGACGTAAATTTGCCTAGAATAACCACAACAGCCAAGAAATGCTGGGGTTAGTTCTGCAACGTACTGTAAAGGATATGCAACTAACTTTATCAGGATTGTTATTTCAATTTTATTTGTCTCATTGTGTTATCACCTTTTTATACTAATACCCTATCACCGGCGACGTAGAGAGGGGGTACTTGCTGCCTGGGCAACAGTCTGTACTCCAAATCAAAACGCCCTGGCCTGTGCCCTGGAGAGGTCACTCCAGCGATGACCATCAGCTGCTGGCTGTAAATGAGTTTGAGTACCTAGGCTCACGTATCTCAGGCAATCATTCTCTGGATCCAGAACTTCACAAACGTATAGGAAAGGCCTCTGCTATGTTTGCAAATCTCACAAAGAGAGTCTGGTCAAACAATAAGCTAACTGATAATACAAAAATGAAGGTTTATGAGTCTTGTGTCCTGAGCACATTACTGTAAAGCTGCGAATCCTGGACTCTCTATGCTCCACAGGAAAAAAGACTGAATACCTTCCATATGCGCTGTCTGAGACCCATCCTTAGTATATTATGGCGAGACCTTGTCTCCAACGAATGTGTGCTCACAAGAGCAAAAATACCATCAATGTATTGTATTCTGAAGCAAAGACGTCTTCGCTGGCTGGGACATGTCTCCCGCATGGAGGATTGTCGTATTCCAAAAGATCTCCTATATGGTGAATTGGTAACTGGGAATAGACCTACAGGAAGGCCAAAGCTGCGCTATAAAGATGTATGCAAACGTGACCTAATAGATACCAACATAGGCACAGAGACATGGGAAAAATCAGCTGCAGATCGACTACTATGGAGACAGAAAGTGAAAGACGGACTGTCACATTTTGAAAGAAACCGAACACAACGAGCTGTGGAGAGGAGGCACCGAAGAGTAAAACTGCCTCACAACGAGGGAGTATCTGCTTTTGTGTGTATCCTGTGTGGCAAAAACTGTCATTCCCGCATTGGACTTTACAGTCACAGCAGATGCTGTTCCCAAAGCCAGCGGCACATCTCCATAGTCCCCCGGGACTGACGGATGCCATTATACTAATACCCTATTTATTTAAATAGCAACCACTTATGAAGGTAAAAGTTAAATAAACACAGGTCTTGCACTGAAAGAGTTATAGTACAGTAAGACACTATCTTCTGGAAAGATGGAAAAGTACCAATAAAAACAAAACAATGTATGATACATTTTTAGAACTGTGTGCCTTAAAAAAATTTGTAAGGTCCCTTTTCCACGCCTTTAGTTGTGTTGGGTATATAGGGCTAGACCTATATTTTTATAGACCAGTCGGCACTTGGTGGGTGATTTGATCAGCATCACTTCGGCCGCCTTTACTTTCCAGGACTGCACCTGGTACCCACTCAAGGCTGGATCGACCTGGTAGTCAAGGTCATTTGGGGGGGCGGAATCCGACTCCATTAGGACTCGAACCCATGACCTTCCGATCCACAGTCGGGCGTCCAGCCGCCAATGCCATAGCGTGTGTGTGTGCATACATATATATATATGTATATATATTTGTGTGTGTGTGTATATATATATTATTTCATTTGTCACAATCAGACTAGAGCCATCCTCCTGTCTGTCAGTTCGAGCGTTTGCTGACCAGTACCTATGCGCTGCACTGGTTGAAGCTGCTAACAAGTATCTGCAGAACAACTTTCGACAGGTTGGTCATTTTATATTAAAATGTTATGTCCTTTTTAGAAGTTCTCAGTCCAATCCCAGTATTTGCTGGCTGTTGTGTGGTTTTTCCAAGGCCATTCCTTCTTTGTCTTTTTAAGTGCATGCTTTTTAAATGACGGTTGGTACATCTTGTTGTGGTTTACAGCAAGAGTGTGATATCAGCACCTATCCTTACTGCACATCGAACTTCTCAGTCCATAAGTGCTCGTATCCCCTCCTTAGTAAATCCCGCAGCGGGTAGCAGCTGACAACACCAGTTCTGTGTTGGTTTATTATTATTCTTTGGCTACCTGTGTAGTGTTCTTATTTTAACTTGCTGTTCTTGCAGTCTAACCATGGTTGCAGATTCAAGAAACAGGATTATTATGGCCTGGAGAGAATGGTGCACCTGCATGTGACCAGAGGGTCAGGCTGGCTCACTACACTCAGAGGAAAGGCAAGACGGACATATAACCAGTTTATGATCGGTACCATTAGTGTTGGAACTCAATGCTGGCTGCTGAAGATGGGGACAGAACGCATATAGTGCTGTGGTGTCAATTCTTGACTCGACTCAACTCAACACCAGTGGTGCGCACCTGATAACCAGGTGTGCAATAAACTAGCTGTTTAAGAACCATTTGCACACAGAATTAAACAACTACGTTGGAAATAGAACCAGCACGGAAAATTCTAAAGCTTGGTTTGCAGGAGGTCATGACTTGGATGGAACATTTGTAGAGTTATGTCGATGTTACAGGAGAAGATGATATGACTATTTGTATAAAGGTGCTTCATTAATATCCTACCCCAAACAGGAAATCCACAGGTCACGGGAAAGTCTAATATTTCAGGGGGTGGTAGATAGGCTGCATGCAGTCATGGGATCTAAGCTGCATGCAGTCGTGGGACCTAGGATGCACTCTCTTGTCGGATGTAGGTGGGTTCGGGTTAGGGCCAGTTCTAGGTGTTTTTGGGTTGTTAAAAGTATCAGAAAGCCAGGAAACCCAGTCTTAACACCCTCTAAAATGTTATATTGTCCTGTGATGTCATCTGGGGTAGGATATTAATAAAGAACCAAATAAACATATAATTTTATACATGAATAAATGTAAATTTTGTTCATTAGGAAAAAAGACACATTTCTTTAAAATAAGCTCTGATGTATTTTTTAAAATAAAAGTTAATTTCAGACCCGGTCTTATTTTTGGAGAAGTGCAGTATCTTAGTCTCCTGGTTGGTCAAGTTGTCATTTTACTGCATCTTGTCACTGCTGTTTTGCCACCGTTATGTGTCTTGTTTCTTTCATGCTAAATTGGAAAGTTCATTCATAGCGTAACTATTTTTATTTTCATAGGTTGCTCTGTCATCAGATTTCTTGGCTTTGACCAAGTCGGAGATGCTAGAGATCTTATCCAGAGATGAGCTGTACGTCAGCAGTGAAGAGCAGGTTGGAAATATTTTTCTTCTTCTTTGCATTCACCAGCTGTAAACTCTGGGGGAAAGTTCTGGTTGTTGGTCCACTTCTGGACTGCAGTCCTGTTCCAGAACCTGAGGGTTGCGTGTGCATCCATTTGACAGATCTGACTAATTTGTATGCAGACTGTTAGTTCTTTACCTCTCAGGCAGATGCACTCCGACTTTGAAGGAGGCTCCCAATTAGTCGACTCTTACGACATGATTTTGGGTAGGCAGTGGGTCTATTAATGTTTTCCCTATATTGGGGCCCCAGAACCCACTCGGGAAGAGAGGTGGGGAATCTATCCAGACACTGAGTGAATCCTAACATTCACATTTGTGTATGGGTGATTTGTTTATATTGATTTGTGTAGAGCAGGGGTGGGCAACATTTTGTTGTCAGCGTGCCAGATTTAGAATTACCAACCTGATCGTTTGGCATATAGAAAAAATCCATTATAAACATAACCTGAATTTCTTTGTAACAAGATATTTTTGTGGAATAATCTAAGAGCACGTTTTGAATTGAAGTGGGCAAAGAATCACCAAATAGTCACTGGAATGGGAAACAGATAACTGAGAAAACAAAGTCATCCAAGAGAAGCTTTACATGGAACATTGATGAGAAAGGCCACAGGTACCAGACTGGTTTCCATGCATGATGTTGGAAAGATTCCTCAGGGTAGAATAGAGGAATCATAGTTTGTGGTTTTTCAAGTTCAATTCAAAATTTTGGTGAGTTGGTTGAACGCTTATACTAAAATAGGGGAGGGAAGGATGGTTGAGAGGAGAAGCAGCAGCAGCATATGGCAGACCAGAATTTATTCACTTCTTATCCGAAGATGTAAATATGTAGTGCCCGTATTTAACAGGGCTGCAATATTTGTGCTTTTGGGCCAACACATCCAACTTCTGCGGGAATTTGTTGCCAGTGGAGTGTACTCCAGTGGAGGAATAATGAGCAGAAGAAGAAAAGACATATGAGTGTGTATTTCAATAGACAAAAGAAGCAGCATACTCACCTTTACTTCAGGGGGGGTGGGGGGGTGGAAAAGAGGGGTGGGGTTTGGTAAACAGAAGTTATTTTTTTTTAAAGAAGCACACTGGCCTATAATCTAATGGGTGAGTTATGGACAGTAGAAGATGCACTGGCCTAAACTCCAGTGGAAGGATAATAGGCCCACGAAGAAGCACTGGCCTAAACTCCAGTGGAAGGATAATAGGCTCAAGAAGAAGCACTGGCCTAAACTCCAGTGGAAGGATAATAGGCCCAAGAAGAAGCACTGGCCTAAACTCCAGTGGAAGGATAATAGGCCTAAGAAGAAGCACTGGCCTAAACTCCAGTGGAAGGATAATAGGCCCAAGAAGAAGCACTGGCTTAAACTCCAGTGGAAGGATAATAGGCTCAAGAAGAAGCACACTGGCTTATACTTTAGTATGGGGAATAACGAGCAGAAAAAGAATTAGCACACTGGCCTACACTATAATGAGAGGGATAAGGGACAGAAGTGGGAAAAGAAGCATTGGTCTAAACTCCAATTTGCTGTAAGGGAGGGGGGGGGGGGGGGGCATGATGGTCAGAAAAAGAAGAAGCATTGGTCTAAACTCCAATTTGCTGTAAGGGATGGAGGGGGGGGGGGGGGGGGCATGATGGTCAGAAAAAGAAGAAGCATTGGTCTAAACTCCAATTTGCTGTAAGGGAGGGGGGGGGGGGGGGCATGATGGTCAGAAAAAGAAGAAGCATTGGTCTAAACTCCAATTTGCTGTAAGGGAGGGGGGGGGGGGGGCATGATGGTCAGAAAAAGAAGAAGCATTGGTCTAAACTCCAATTTGCTGTAAGGGGGGGGGGGGGGGGGGGCATGATGGTCAGAAAAAGAAGAAGCATTGGTCTAAACTCCAATTTGCTGTAAGGGAGGGGGGGGGCATGATGGTCAGAAAAAGAAGAAGCATTGGTCTAAACTCCAATTTGCTGTAAGGGGAGGGGGGGGGGGGGGGGGGGGGGGGCAAGATGGTCAGAAAAAAGAAGAAGCATTGGTCTAAACTCCAATTTGCTGTAAGGGAGGGGGGGGGGGGGGGCATGATGGTCAGAAAAAGAAGAAGCATTGGTCTAAACTCCAATTTGCTGTAAGGGAGGGGGGGGGGGATGATGGTCAGAAAAAGAAGAAGCATTGGTCTAAACTCCAATTTGCTGTAAGGGGAGGGGGGGGGCAAGATGGTCAGAAAAAGAAGAAGCATTGATCTAAACACCAATTTCCTGGGGGGGGGGGGGGGGGGGGGGATAGACAGAAAAAAAAGCATTGGTCTAAACTTAACTTTGTAGGAAAGGTAGGGGGGGTGGGGGGTTAGGAGTGATGACTGACAGAAGAAGAAGAAGCACTCTGGCCTATTCTCCAGTGGGGTTGGAGGGATAATGGAATGAAGAAGATGATAATGGGCAGAAGAGGAAGAAAAAGAAACATACTGGCCTATATTCCAGTGAGGAATAATGAGCCTACCTGCTACTGCACCTCCCCCTCCCCTGCCCCGCAACCTAGCCAGCATCTGCCGTGTGGTTGCAGATTTTTACAACAAACACATATCAAACTCACATCACTCACACACTCCTTACATGTACAACAAATAGCACTCTTACACTCTTAACTTGTACAACACACAGCACTCACACATTCCTTGGATGTACAACACACAGCATCCACACACTCATTACATGTACAACACCTAGCACTCATTCCTTATATGTACACCACACATCATTCCCACATTCCTTACATGCACAACACACAGCACTCACAAACTCCTCATCCGTATGCAACAAAGTGCTCCAACACACCTCATTTGTATAACATACAGCCTGCCTATACTCCTCAACTGAATGCAGCTCAGTGCTTCCAGTGATGTGTGTTGTTTCCTGCAGAGTTGAGTTCTGCCTTGTGGTTGCAGATTTGTATTCATGTACATTTGTCTCAATGTGTCCAGATTTTTGAGGCAGTCATGCGTTGGATCAAGCATTTGCCAGAAGCTCGAGTGTCTGACCTCCCAGAGCTGATGGTGAAAGTGAGGCTGCCGTTGCTGACACCCCAGTATCTCAGTGACAAGGTGGCTACAGAAGATGTCATCAAAAACTCTCTGCAGTGCAGGTGGGGTGTGTGGTGTAAGGTGAGGTGTGTGTGAGTGCTGTGTGGTGTACCTGCAAGTTGTGTAAGAGTCTGTAGGGTGTATAAGTGGGTTGTATGGGAGTGCTGTGTGGTGTACAGGTGAGGTATGTGTTAGTGCTGTGTGGGAGACTGTGTGGTGTATAGCTGGGTTGTGTGGGAGTGCTGTGTAGTGTCAAGGTGAGGTAAGTGTGAGTGATGTGTGGTGTTCAGGTGAGGTGTGTGTGAATGCTGTGTGGTGTACAGGTAAGAAGTATAAGAATTATGTTGAGTGCGCAGGTGGAGTGTGATAATGCTGTATGAGTGAGGAATGTCTGAGTGCTGTGAGGTGTATTTGTGTGTGTGAAAGCACTGAGTTGCATACAGGTAAGGAGTATAGGCAGGCTGTATGTTGTACAAATTAGTTGTGTGGGAGCACTTTGTTAGGATGAGGAGTTTGTGAGTGCTGTGTGTTGTGCATGTAAGGAATGTGGGAGTTAAATTTGCATGCTTCTTCTTTTTCATATTTACTGGCGGTAAACTCCAGCAGAAAGTTCTGGCTGTTTGTCCACCGTCAGACTTTAGTCTCGTTCCAGAGCTTTAGTGTTGCGTGCACATCCATTTGACAGATCTGGCTTGGTAATCTTAGTTTCAGCTTCATAGCAAATGGGTCACCCCATTGTTGCTTCGCTGCTGTGCTAACACACAAAAAACACACACAGTGTCCACCACTGTCATTGTGGAAAAATTGTCGCAGACTGCAGTTTCAGCATATCCACTAGCATACACACACACTGAATGCACAAGGCAGTCATCTGAAGTGCTAACACAAACAGTCCAACATTGGAAATGCAGTTCATCATCGAGGGAAGCAGCAGTTACAAACAAGTCAGCAGTTGCACACAAGATTTGGCTTATTTGTATGCAGAGACTATTGGTTCCTTGCCTCTCAGGCAGGTGCATGATGACTTCAAAGGAAGCCTCCAGTTAGTCAGCATCACACTTATTAGGGAGGCAGTGGATCTACTTTTGTTTCCCCCACAATGAGGTCCCGGAACCCACACTCAAGAACTGTAACTAGGCTAAAGTCCAGAAATGAACAGACATCCATAAATTTCTACCAAGGCTTACAGTCAGTGAACGCAAAGAGAAATGAGGAGCGGTAGAGGACCTTGTTTGGCAATGATGAAACCCTTTTCTGTCATGTTTTTCCTGCAGAGATCTCCTAGATGAGGCCAGAGACTACCACCTGATGCCCGAGAGGAGACTCCTCATGCAGACTTTCAAGACAAGACCCAGGTGCTGCACAGATGTCCCTGGATTTATATTTGCTGTGGTATGTAATTATTTTATCCCTTGTATTCTTTGTTTTATGTTTTCTGGGCGTTTTCCCTGGTGAAGGGTTCAAGTGGTTTGCCATGGGCTCTGAAGGTCATTGGTTCGTTTCACTGACATGATATTCAGGTCACAAGGTTAGTTTTGCAAAGATCCTAGGCATCCAAGCACAAGGAGTTATGGATTGATGACATTAAAGACCTTATACCATAAAACTTTATCAACATGAATTCACTTAACTCTTTGAGTCCCAGAGAACGCATCACGCACTAATTTGTTCCAACCGGGCGGCCCAGTCGATGCGTGACAAGTGAAGGTTTTTAATCTACCACTGACTGGTATTAGAGTGCGGACTGCTCAATTTGAACTTCCTTTTGAGTTCTTTGTGTCTGATATCAGGCGTGCTTATTTAAAAATGTGGTTTAAAAGCCGAAACTATAGTATATTTGCGAGGTTTGCCGAGTTAGTAAGTGTTTGTTTGAAAAGATTGTGGCTGCCAAGCAGTATTCTACATGCATGCCAACTTGATTTACGGCTTTAAAAGCCTGAAATTTAAAAAAGTACGTGTTTATTAGATTTATCCGAAGTTAGAAAGATCACTTTGCAAATTATACGTGTTTCAGTCATTTATAGTCAAACTTCGATCAGGGATATGTCTAATGTGCACCTCACGTGAATACAACGAAAGCAAAGTCAGCTGGCACAGATAGAATAAACATGAGTGAAAAGACTATTTTCTTCAGTGTCAGTTAGTTCTAGTGCTATTCCCCCTTCCATAGCAACAAAATTACAGGCAAATTGAGTGTTAGATAAACTTTGTTTTGTGTGAAGATACTTTTTGTTTTGGGAGTCAGTTTTCTTTACCAAATAATGGTGCCCTGTTATGATGCTTCAAAAGATTCTCTGGAACAAAATCTAATGTATAGAGTTTATATTTTACTTATACATTACTAAGTGGTTCATATTCATAAGTGATTCATTTTGGGTATATTGTAACCAGTTTTTCTCGAGGGCCATGGTGGTAAGTGGAAATTTTTACATTTCATTTTACAAGTTTTTTTATGTAAACATACTGTCTATTTATTTACTAATATTTAATTACTAACACAATTATTTGTTGCAGCTGTATTCTTTAATTATTTCTCAACAATCCCTGGTCACTTTTGTGTATAATATGTGTATGTTACTATTGAATTAGTATAGTCTGTTTTAATGTGTTACACTTGTGAAATTAAAAAATTGCATTACCTCCCCTTGGGCCTTTGATGCTAAACCCCTCGGACTCAAAGAGTTAAGAAGAATACTTGATTAGCATGGAAAAAAAAATTGGTACCTCCAGCGATAGATTAATTTGAGTCCCTGGTTATTGCCACTTTTCTTTTAACGCAAACTCTGAAATTTTCAGCTGTTTGGAATTTGTATTAAAAGAACGACATGCACCATGCGGTGGCAAGATTCGCATAAGAGATCCTGGACAGTTACGTCCTTCAGATATTTTCTCAAAGTATGCCAGTATGTTTGGAAATGAACAGACAGAAAGATTGGCTGGCTGGTTCATCACCACTTGGTGGAAAATAATGTACAACAAGCTAGATATTATAAGGGCCCTTTGGGAGTTGGTAAACAATACGGAAACACCAAACTATCATTACAGTCTGAAAAAAATTGGTGCCACTATAAGTGACCAAGGGTTCAGCTTAGTGCTGAATACTCAGGGAAGTGATGAGACCGACATACTCAGGGAAGGGATGAGACCGACATACTCAGAGAAGGGATAAGACCATCATACTCAGGGAAGGGATGAGGCCGTCATACTCAGGAAAGGGATGAGACCGACATACTTAGGGAAGGGATGAGACCGACATACTCAGGAAAGTGATGAGACCGACATACTCAGGGCAGGAAAGAGACCGACATACTCAATGAAGTGATGAGACCGACATACTCAGGGAAGTGATGAGACTGACATACTCAGGGAAGTGATGAGACTGACATACTCGGGGAAGGGATGAGACAGACATACTTAGGGAAATGATGAGACCGATATACTCAGGGAAGTGATGAGTCCAACATACTCAGGGAAATTATGAGACAGACATACTTAGGGAAGTGATGAGACCGACATACTCAGGGAAGTGATGAGTCCGACATACTCAGTGAAGTGATCAGACCGACATACTCAGGAAAATGATGAGACACACATACTCGCGGAAGGGATGAGACAGACATACTCAGGGAAGGGATGAGACCGACATACTCAGGGAAGTGATGAGACCGACATACTAAGGGAAGTCATGAGACCGACATACTCAGGAAAGTGATGAGACCGACATACTCAGGGAAGTGATGAGACCGACATACTCAGGGAAGGGATGAGACCGACATACTCAGGGAAGGGATGAGACCGACATACTCAGGGAAGGGAGGAGACTGACATACTCAGGGAAGTAATGAGACCGACATACTCAAGGAAATGATGAGACAGGCATACTCAGGAAAGGGATGAGACACACATACATACCATCGGAATCGGAGCTGTGCACTTGGTGCTGAAGGTGGAGATGGAACACTTAAGGGAATGTCCCGGTGCTATGATGAAGGATTTTAACTCATAACAGAATGACAGAAGCCAGTGCCATTCATTGAGCACTATACCACAGACTGTGCCTTCCCACAGAACCTAACAGCAAAATTGGAAGATGCTGATAAAGACTTTGATCAGAATATTGTCTGTTATTTCTTTTGCAGAGTTTACCTGTTTCATTTTGTTTTCCTCAGTTATTCTGATTATTATTTAACAGGGTGGTCTGACCTCCGCAGGAGACTCGCTGAGCACGGTCGAAATATTCGACCCCTTGACTGTCCAGTGGTCACCGGGAGAGCCTATGAGTACAATGAGGAGTCGAGTAGGTGTGGCAGTTTTAAAAGGTCAGATTTTGTTTAGTTTTGGTCAGTTTTTTTCTAGCATTTACCATAGGGCAAGAAGAAGAAGACAGTAGAGAAGGTGGAAAGACACAATTTCTCTGGATCTTTGGTGCTGTCTTGTTGGTTGTGTTGGTAGATTTACTTTAGGCCATCGGTGATGAGATGAGGAGTAAGAAAAAAAAAATGTTTTCTCTGTGCTGCATTAGAAAATGAATGGCAAAAGAAGAACGTGGAGGAAAAAGGGAAGGGAAAAAAGAAAAGAAGAGGGAAGAATTAAAACAAAGAGAAAAGAAGATATCAGTGAAGAAGGAGAATCTGAGTTTTACCTTATGCTAGTTTGGATAGAAGACAGAAGAAGGAGATGCAATGCCAGCCAGATTTCCCATAGACAGTTCATGCTATCTGCTTGTTTATTCTCAGGTTTACTGTATGCCAGTTTGGATAAAAGACAGAAGAAGAAGATGCAATGCCAGATTTGCCTGGACAGTTAATTTTATCTGCTTGTTTGTTTGCAGGCTTACTATATGCCGTCGGGGGATACAATGGCATGGAACGCCTGGACACTGTGGAGATGTATGATCCAGTCTTCAAACGATGGAGCAGAGTGGCACCCATGAAATGTAAACGTAGGTAAGTCCTTATTTAATGTCGGCACCTTTCTGTCTCTCAAGGTGAAAATGTTTCCTACTGCCATAAGGAGGCATAGGAATTATCTCCCAAGGTGATGCCAGGTAAGGCCAGGGTTGAAGTTGGTCTTCTCCACAGCACAAAACTTGGACAGTATAGTATAATGTTGAATTAAGAATTGACATCATAGCACTCCGGACACTCTTATAAGCGCTCTGTCCCCATCTTCAGCAGCAAGCGAAGAGTTCCTGTTCCGATGGTACCAGTAACTGTCTGAGTGTTGAATGTCAGCCAGATCCCCTGGTAACTCCCCGCATCACCATTCTCTTCAGACTGTAAGGATTTATTTGTGATTCAGCACTGTTCACTCGCTACCAACGGGTCATCACAGCATCTTGCTTGTCATATCATACATCAGTTCACCACCAAAGATGCAGAACCAGCCAGTCTATCTGCCTTCTTGTTTCCTAACACACCAGCAGAACCTGGCGAAAAATATCCAAAGGACGCTAACTGCCCGAGACCTCGGCAGCAATGCCTGCCACTCTGCATGAAGCATGCCTGTCTCCACCTTTCTCAGCTTATTCTGTGAGTCAGTTATAGTTATGACGTGTGTACAGCTGATTCTCAATCCAGTGGAAGGCAGCAGTGACTGCCTCCACCTCCATTCTTAAGCTAGACGTTGTGATATCAGATGCCAGGCATTGTTGCACTAAGCGATGTCTATTAGCCTTTGCTATGAACCCCCATGCTACTCGTCTACCTCTCAACACAGAGTCATCTGTATAGATAATCACATCACCTGGGCAGGTATTGTCAGTATTGTAGAGACCATGTGTTACCCATGCAGCATAATTCATCTCCTGGCCTGCTTTGTTAACTCCAAAGAAAGGTAACACCAGTACATTTGTGGCTAAATATGCTGCTGAAGCTAGTGAATCAGAAGAGCACTGCCCTGTCTGTATACCCATTAGAAAGTTCCCTTCTAGTCAGCTGCCCTCCCCAAGTGGGTTCTGTGTTCCCATTTTGGGGAAAATAAGAACAGACCCACTGCCTCCCCAACAAGCATGTCGTAAGAGTAACTGGTGGTTTCCTTCAAAGTCAGAGTGCACCTGAGAGGCAAGGAAACAACAGTCTGCATACAAATAGGTCAGATCTTTAGAATGGATGTGCACTCAAAACAATGGTTCTGGAACAAGCCTAAAGTCCAGAAGAGAATGAACTACCAGAACTTTCTGCCGGTGTTAACAGCCGTGAACACCATGAAGAAAGAAGAAGTCAGCTGCCAGTTAACTCTTGTCAGTCCCAAGGAAAGAAAAAATGTTCAGAGGTTCCTACCTAGTAGCCCAGTGATTCCCAAATTGTGTGCTGCCACCTCTTCACAGGGGCGCTGCAAAATATTTGAAGATACACGAGTTTAATTTGTTTTTATCTCATCCATACGAATAGTCATACTTTTACTTAGGTTAGGGCGGAGTGGAAAAATGTTAATTGAACAAAATCGTTTCAACTAAAAAAAAAATGTTTTGGAAACACTGTAGTAGCCCAGTGAATACAAAATGTGCTGATTTTAGTCTTTTGTTTTTACCCTTTGGGCTTCTGCTGCTAAACCCCCTGGAACTGAAAGAATTCAGGCTAAGGGCTTTATCTACTCTGTGATAGGGGGCTGCGTGGTCTCGATGTATGGTGTCCGCCTCAAGTTCTAGAGGTCCTGGCTCCGAGCCCCTGTGAAGGCTGGGATTTTTTTCTGTTCATGTGGACTTCTAGTAATTTCCCCTGGTCTCTGGGTAGTGAGACTGGATGCCCTTGTGTATTGTTGCGCACGTAAAAAATCCCTTGGCAGTTGGAAATGGAAAAGAGTAGCCTAACGGTGCTGCCCGGGCCACATTTGGAGTTAAAAATCTACCCAAAATATTTCAGGATCCCCGCCGGTGCTACGAAGACCGTGCACTGTGCTGAGCTACTCTGGACTCAGACTTGAGTTAGAAGTAGAACGGGGCACTTATGACTTACTACCCATGTGCAGTGGTGTTGATCTGTTGTTCAAACTTCTACTCTGTGATGACATTACCTTCAGTTCTGTATTTATTTGCTTTCAAATGCCACAGTAATTTTTTTGTGTGAGGAATTATCATCAGTTGATTGTAAATCTTTAGTAACCATTCTTCTTTTTCGCATTCACCGGCTATAACTGCGGTGGAAAGTTCTGGTTGTTTGTCCACCTCTGGATTTTGGTCTTGTTCCAAACCCTGAGTGTTGCATACACATCTGTAGATTTGACAGATTTGTTTGCATATTGTTGGTTCCTTGCCTCTTAGGAAGTCCCCAATTGGTCGACTTTTATGACATGCTTGTTGGGGGCCGTGGGTCTGTTCTTGTTTTTTCCCCGCAATGGGGCCTGGAGCCGATATGGGGTTAGTAACCGTTAAAATAAAGAGTGAATCTTGGAATGTCAGTGAACAAATTAGGAAGAATTTGGAAGCAACAGAGATGTGGTTTTTGAGACGAATGTTACGAATACCTTGGACGGCCAACATATTAACAATGATTGCTTGAAAGAAGCTAATGAAAGTAGATCTGTATATACAACAATAAGAAAGAGACAAACACTGTTCTTTGGCCACAAAAGGAGAAGGGAAAAATTGGAGAACATCGTGACAACTGGAAAGATCAGTGGAAAAGGGGGTAAGGCAAACCAAGAAAGATGATGTTGGATAGACTGAAACGATGGCATGGAGGAATATCATCAAGAGAGCTGTTCCAGTCAACCAGATATCATGATCTGTCGAGAAGCTTGAGTGCCTACGCCATTTTGGCAGGGCACATGATGATGATGATGAACCATTAGAATCAGATGTCTGAGGAAGGCTGTGGGTGCTACCAGAAGAAATTCTTCTTATTCTTATGCATTCATCAGCTGTAAACTCTGTGGAGATTCTTCTGGTCGTCTGTGTCTGGTCATCTGTGTCTGGACTTTGGTCTTGCATGCACATCCATTTTGCAGGTCTGCCTTAACTCTTTGAGTCCCAAGGAACGCATCATACGTTCATAGGTTACTGTCTAAATGCCCAATGAACGCATGATGCGCCGATTTTACGTGTCTCTTGACTACTCCTTGGGCCTGTGATGCTAAACCCTCTGGGACTCAAAGAGTTAATTAGGTGCAGATTGTTTGTTACTTGCCTCTTAGGCAGATGAAAAGGGGGTGGGGGGTCTGACTTTAAAGGAGATACTGATTGAATCATCACCGGGCAGGCCTCCAGTAGGGATCCTGTTTCTAGAATGATCACATAGGTTTATATAGGCCTTGGTTCTGCTGTACTCTCCCGTGCACTCTATACATGACAAGGCACATGTGGTCAAGGCCATTTGGGAACAAGCAACGGAATCAGTTGAGAAACAAGATTATTATGGCCTGGAGAGAATGAGGCACGTGGGTGTAACCAGAAGATCTGGCCGGCTCACTACACTCAGAGGAAGGGCAAGACGGACATATAACCAGATTGTGACCAGTACCAACAGTATTGGAACTCTACAGTGGCTGCTGAAGATGAGGACGGAGCGCACATGGGAATGCCCCGAGTGCTGTGATGTCAATTCTTAACTCAACTCAACTCAGCTCTCCCAGAATGCACATCAGCATCCCACTAAGAAGAGATCACATCAAAGAATCAGCACAGAACCATCTTAGAATTACATTCAAAGACTGCAGATAATTAGTTTCCCACTTAAGGAGAATGCTTTGAGATGCCATATTGTACACAGTATACACAAAAAGAGGAGAGGGCTCAAGCTTAATCAAGAACACAGTGAAATGATACTGTCAGAAAAGTCGGCTAGTATTTCTTTATTCGCCTATAAAGAAGTGGTTGGAACTTTGTGTTGTGGTTTATAGCAAGGTTGTGATATCATTCATTTTGGCCTCATGCATCTGATTTCAGCAGACTCCTAATTAGTCACCTTTTTTGTGTGTGTGTGTGTGCCTCGGTGTCAACACAGAACTGCAGGACTCTCCTGTATACTTCCGGCAGGTGTTGGAGATCTGCCTCAAAAGAGCTGCATTGTAAAACAAGCTGTGGAAGGCCAGTGGTGACCTTAGACAAACCGTTTTGATTGTGACCTAGACAGGACAATGTTTAACATGGCTGATGTCAGACGCAAAAGAAGAAGAAGACGACGACTAGAACCTATATCAGCCTCTCCCTGTGTGGGTTCTGGGGCCCTGTTATAGGGATAACAAGAATAGACCCACTGCCTACCCAAAAGCATGTCGTAGGAGTCAACTAATTGGGAGCTTCCTTCAAAGTCGGAGTGCATCTACCTGAGAGGCAAGGAACCAGCAGTCTGCATAGAAATGAGTCCGCTTGGTCCTCTTAAAATTGTTTTGGTACAGCTTCAACAGTATGAAAGTACAGTATATCTGCTGAGAGCCGCTTTATAAACGTATCAAGGAACCAGCAGTCTACACACAAATGTGTCAGATCTATCAAACAGATGCACACACAACACTCAGGTTCTAGAACAGGACTACAGTCCAGAAGTGGACAAACAACCAGAACTTTTCACCAGAGTTTACAGCTGGTGAATGCGAAGATGAAAAAGAATATCTGCCTCAATACCCAAAGGGTAAAAAGAGGAAATGAAGAAAGGACTGTGGATCTTCTGGAAGCCCTAATTCTTTTAGTTCTTTCTGCTTCAGGCAAGGGAAACCCCCTAGTGTTCATTTGTTATCTGTGTGCTTCATGCCAAGTCTATTACATTAATGTACTTTTCATGTTTGGTCAAGCCATACTGAAAAATCTGGCTTAATAACACTGCAGTAATTATCTGTCTTAGACTTGTGACTTATTTATACTGTTATTAATTAGTTAGTTAGTCTTTCCTCTTGAGCATAGGGCAGAGGTCATAGCTCTCCACGTCTGGCAGTTGGCCGCCTGTTTTAGGTCTTGGATGTTTATTGGGCTCATGGTTGAGACCTCCCTGATGATGGTTCTACGCAGGGTCACTCTTGGTCTTACCTATTTTCTGTTGCCTTCCGGTGTCCAAATGAGGGCTTGATGTGTGAAGTCTTATCTTATCCTTTATGAGTACATGGCCGCTGTAGTTCCAGTGGCGCTGTTAAATTAATTAACAGAAACAAAATGATGCTCTCTCCATGTTAGAGACTGACTGCAGTGTATCCACTGCTAACTGTAGGAATATTACGTGGTGAGGCCCAGTCCCTTCCATGGTGGGACTCTAATGCCACTGAAAGCCACATAATTGTTTTTTTTTTTTTTTTTTAAATAACTGTTCACTGCAGGAATCGAACCCTGGTAAACAACGAAAATGTGTTGACTGTTGAATTAAGAATCGAAATCATAGTACTCTGGACACTCCCATAAGTGCTCCATCCCTATATTCAACAGCAAGCGAAGAAGAGTTCTGATTCCTATGGCACCAGTAACTGTCTGATTGTATATCCATCTCGACTTTCCCTTGAGTGTCAAGTGTTGGCCAGATACCCTGGTAATTCCTAGCAGCGCCATTCTCCTCAGACTGTAATGATCCATCTGTGCCTCCGCATGGTTCACTTGGTCCCAAATGGCCCTCACAACATCTAGCTTGTCATACATTAATTCACTGTTGAGTAAACATCGAGGATTGCATTGTGAAACCATGTCACTCACCTCTTATCCATAGTGGTGCACTAATTGACAGAAATATCTGTCTGAATTGTCTCATGTCTTATTCACTCTGTTAGTAATAGTACAAGTAAGTAAAATTATAGCAGAAGGCATGTTACCAGGAAGGAGGGGCAGGGGCCGACTGACATGAAGATGGGCACAGGATATAAGTGACTCCTTGGGTATGAAATTACATGAGATGGGAGAGCTAGCAAGAGACCAAGTTTCTTTTAGGCAGACCGTGATGAGAGCGACGTTCTGCTAAGGACCTGCTACATGATGATGATGAGGAAGTAAAGGTACCTTTTCCACGCCTTTAGGCATATAGGGCTAGACCTATATTTTTTAAAGACCAATTGGCACAAGATGGGTGATGTGGTCAGCATCACGCCGGCCACCTTTACTTCCCGGAGCTGCACCCGGTACCCACACAAGGCTGGGTCAACCTGGGTGTCAGTTATAATCATAAAAATGTGTCTTCTCATGGTCTTATTTACACTGTCAATAATTTGCAGCATCATATGTCTGGCTTGTTTCAGTGCACTGGGAGCAGTCAGTCTCAACGGAAGAATCATAGTCTGTGGAGGCTACGATGGAGTCACGTCACTGCATACCTGTGAGAGCTACGATCCGGAAAATAATGTGTAAGTTGCATATTACCAATTTATTCTTATTTTCACGTTCATACGTCGGCAAGTCTGGCTTTATTGTATACTTGTGTAGGTGATATTTGCTATAATATATATTTCTTACTTAAAAAGTTTGTGAATACATTTCCCTTGTGGTCTCCTATTTGCGTCTGTCATGGAATTTTTAAGGTGTGCAGTTTAGAAGGGGCTTGAAATTGGTGGAGATTAGATACAATCTTCTTTGTTTTTTTATTTTGGTTCTCCTGCCAGCGGTTGTTAGAGGAGACGGCTACAGACCTGTATGATCTACTGATCCATACAGGTTGGTTTCCACCAGAATACCAACTAGCCAGACCTGTGTGATCTACTTGATCCATACGGGTTGGTTTCTACTAGAATGCCAGACCTGTGTGATCTACTGATCCATACAGATTGGTTTCCACCAGAATACCGACTGGCCAGACCTGTGTGATCTACTTGATCCATAAAGGTTGGTTTCCACCAGAATACCAACTAAAGACCTGTGTGACCTACTGATCCATACAGGTTGGTTTCCACCAGAATACCAATTGGAAAGATTTGAAATCTCTCTACTGCGTGTAGAGATCATGTCTGAAGCACATCTTCAGTATTCTAATACTGACATCAGGGGCATCATATTGCTGCAGAGTTATATCCAGTTTTCAGTCTAAATACAGTAGTCTGCTTCTTTCATGTGAGGAGGTTGACTGGGTCTTCAGGATGGTGATCTGGAGCTGGTGGTGTTGTTCTGCTGGGGGAGAAGGGGTGGTCAGTGGTGCAAATCCATTTTAAAGCCAGAGTAGCTATAGAAAAACAGCAGAAACTGCTGGGGTTGGTTCAGCTATGTCCTGTAAAAGACACACAGCTAAACTGCAAGATTTGGCACTAGGGTGGAGTTCCTATGCTGCATTGGAGGATGAAGGACAAAAGAAGAAGCCAGAAATTTTTGTATCAGTCATTCACCAAAATGCATATTCTGTGATTGTTGGGTTTTCTGTTTGCAAATAAAGGGCATAACAGATGAGTTAAGTCAAGAATTGACATCACAGCACTCGGGGCATTCCCATGCGTGCTCTGTCCTTATCTTCAGCAGCCAGCGCAGAGTTCCAATACTGATGGTACCAGTCACATTCTGGTTATATGTCCGTCTTGCCTTTCCTCTTAGTGTAGTGAACCAGCCAGACCCTCTGGTTATACCAAGGTGCCTCATTCACTCCAAGCCATAATCTTGTTTTTCTACTCATTCTGTTGCTTGTTCCCAAAGGGCCTTGACTGCATCTTCCTTGTCATGTATCAAATCACCACCCAGTGGTGCAGATCCAAAGGGCAGAACAAATAAATCATAATATTTGTGCATCACTCATTCACCCAAACATATATTTTGTTGTTGCCAGGTGGTCGCAGATGCAACCGATGCACAAACATCGAAGTGCATCTGGTGTCACGGTGTTGCATGGCTGTGTGATTGCTTGCGGTGGACATGATGGTTTGTCCATCTTTGACTCCGTAAGTGTTTTCTAGTTTTTCAAGAACTTCCCCAGCGTCAAATTCCAAGCTCCAAATGGGTGAGGGCACTCCCCTCTATGACTAGCATGTGGTAAAAGACGACTGTTTAAGGGGTGTTTTCTTCAAATTTGGAGTGCATCTGCCTGAGAGGTGAGGAACCAGCAGTCTGCATAGAAAAAAGCTTAACTGTAAAATGGATGTGCAAGCTGTACTCAGATTCTGGAAAAAGACCAAAGTCCAGAAGTGGATAAACAACCAGAACTTCCCTCCAGAATATACATCCAGTGAACACTAAGAAGAAGACGAAGAAGATAATTTTGTCATTTAAAATTCCAGTTTATTTTCTGCCATTCTCTTTTTCTTCTTCTTCTTCTTCTTCTTCTTCTTCTTCTTCTTCTTCTTCTTCTTCTTCTTCTTCTTCTTCTTCTTCTTCTTCTTCTTCTTCTTCTTCTTCTTCTTCTTCTTCTTCTCATTGCCCATGCTGTGTGGTGTTGGTGTTCATTTCTTGCTTCAGGTACTTTCTGTCATTTTTGACTTGGATAATCCTCCATGCCATGATACCAAACTGTCCACTGTCTCTTCTCTCTTTGCTCTCCGTCTACCTGTTTTCCTCCTCCAACTCTCCAAGTCTACTGGGACTATTTACAAACAGGTTTAGATTTATGGAAGCAGACTTTCAGTTTAAACATGAGTATCGCTTCAAGTCATTAGTTTTTAACCGGGGGTTGCACCCCCTTGCTAGAAAGTTAGGGGAGGGGAGCTTTAAGCCTATTTTTAAATTGAGTTCATTTGTACTTGTGATAATCTATTGCACAAGCAAATTTTTTGTTCCAGTATTTCTGTGTGCCTTGATATCAAGACAAAACAGTGTCTTCTGTCACATTGCTGTTTGACACCAGAATACCAGTTGATGATTATCGTTCTTCTTCTTCTTTACATCCTGTTTTACCGCTTCAGGTGTCAAGGAAAATATAAGGTCCTGCTTCGTGCTGTTCTGGCTGCTTTGACCATAGATACATGATGGTGCTGTAGAGTTTCTCTGAAGTTATCTTGTTCTTGGTCTACCTCTTGCTCTACATCCCTCTCCTCTTTTGGTATATGCCTTGTATGGTATAGCATCAGGAGGTATTCTCTCCAAGTGGGCAAACCAATTGATTTGCTGTCTTTGTATGTAATTTAGAATTGGTTCTGTGCCGACTTTTTCTTGTGTGACCTCATTTCCATGGTTACTAATTTTTCGTTATGTTCTGTTGTGAGTGACCACGTCTGGCACTGGTAGCATAGGCTGGGAATGAATATGCTTTGTATGAGATGTCTCGTTGTGATGATTGGAATTTCCTTATGCTGTAAGAGGGTGGCTAGATGTCCCAGTACTTGGCCTGTTTTACTGCATTGGATGTCAATTTCTTCATCCAGTTTACCATCTTCATTGAATGTTTTTCCAAGGTATTTAAACTCAGATGACTGTTTAATAAATTGTATGCTCTAATGCTATGTTTAAATCCTGCTTCTTTCTTTCTATTGACATTACTTCTGTCTTTTCGATGTTGATTCTCATATTATTTGATTTACATTCTTCATTCCTGGATGTGGCTGTATCTGTAATCAAGGCCTGGTCATCAGCAAAGAGTAATTCGTTGATGTTACTATTATTTTATTTCCTTGGCTTGGCCTCTTTGCTTGTACTGTCAGTGTAGGTGATAAGACACACCCCTGTCTTACTCCAGATGTTACTTTGAATGGTTTTAATGTTCCCTGATTTTTTCTAACTATGCTGCTACAATCCCTATATAAGCTTTTGCAAACTTACTCCAAATTGAGCCATTACTTTCCATAATTTTTGTCTGTTGACCCTGTCAAAAGCTTTCTTCTCGTCTACAAATGATAAGTTCTGATCTTATTTGATGTTCTTTCTATTAACTGTTCAGGTGTGAAGATTGCATCTGTGCATCTTCTATTTCTCCTGAAGCCCATCTGTTCTTCTGTCAGCTGTGGTTCTATCACTGGTCGCAGCCTCGTTTCTATTATCTTAGCATACATTTTCCGAACATTACTTAGAAGAGAGATGCCTAGATGTTGATTGCATTCTCGCTTGCTTCCCTTGTTCTTCCACAATGGTACAACTATTGCGTGTTGCAAGACAAAAAAGATGATTTAAAGATTATTGTTTCCTTTATGAAATTTAACATTTTGTTTGATTTTTTTTTATCTTTTTCGTAAGTTTTTGTTAATGGTACTTGGCTTTGTTTATTTTTTCCTCTTTTTAATCACATTTTTTTTTTAAATTGGGGCAGAAAGGAGTCTATCTATAAATTCAGGGAGTGCGGGACACCATCTTTAAAAAAAAAAATTTAAACCCCTGGTGTATGTGATCTAGTCTTCTATTACAGACCACACAAGAATCATTGCACAGCACATGCACACTGTAGCACAGGTGAGCATCCACTGTGTGGTACAGGCAGTCTTTGTACCTGTGTTCTGGAGTTAACAGTTGAAAATTCAGATTTTTAGGGCATTTACAACCAACCAATCAATCATCAGATTAAACTTCTAACCATTAGATTAACCCTCTGGCCATATTATTAAACCTTGCAACTGGTAAATTAGCTTGTTCTAGCCGTATAATTAACTTCCAGCTGTCCGGTGATCTGATTATATCCACCAACCATGTAATTATGTTACCTGCCATCTGTTAACTTATGAACCATAAAAGGAACTCAGCAACTGTATGATTAACTTACCAACCATCTAATTAACCTTGCAACAATGTAATTAACCTGTCAACCATGCAGTTAACCTGCCAACCATGTAGTTAACCTGCCAACCATCTAATTAGTCCACAGACCATCTAGTGAACCTACCAACCATCCAGTTAACTTACTAAATATTTAATAAATCTACCAAACATGTAACAAACTTTCAACCATAAAATTAACCTGCCAACCATCTAATTAATCTACCAACCATCCAGTTACCATACTAATGGTTTAATAAATCTACCAAACATGTAACAAACTTTCAACCATAAAATTAACCTGCCAACCATCCAAGTAAACAACCACCCTTTCAACCATCCCCACATTCAGCCAACCATCGAATCAACCAACGATCCTGCCAACAAATCGATCAGCTATTGATTCAACCAACCATTTAATTGACCAACCAACCAGTCATTATTAAGGCCTAGATAACCTCTGGGTTTAGAAGGACTAAAATCTCTGTATTCACCAGGTCGAATCATACAACCCAACCCGAGGTGAATGGGTGCAGCTTCCACCAATGAAATCCAAGCGTTGCAGACTGGGTGTGGCCACCCTGAACGGCAAAGTCTATGCTGTGGGTGGTTATGATGGCTGCGTGTTCCTGAGGTCTGTGGAGAGGTACGATCCCGACACGCAGACCTGGGAGATAGTCGCTCCGATGCAGGTAGTTGTTGGTTTGTTACTTTTTGTGTCTGCCTGTTTGTTTCTTAGTTAGGTAATCAGGTAGTCACAGTTCCAAGATCACAGCTGATGGGTTACCCCGTAGCAGCTCCGTTGCTGTGCCAACAAAAGCCATACAGAATGTGCATCACTGTCCTTAATGAGGGAAAATGTTGGGTGCTTTATTAATATCCTACCCCAGATGAGGTGATAGGACAGTCCAACATTTTAGAGGGTGGTAAGACTGGGTTTCCCGGCTTTCTGATGCTTTTAACAAACCCCAAAACATCTAGAACTGGCCCTAACCTCAACCCACGTACGTCCCATGAGAGAGTGCAGCCTAGGTCCCATGACTGCATGCAGCCAATCGACCACCCCCTGAAATATTTGACTGTCCCGTGACTTGTGCATTTCACCCTGTTTGGGTTGGGATATTAATAAAGCACCAAAAGTTTACATATACTGCAATCTCAGCAAATCCAGTAGCATATACACGTATTATATGCATAAGGCAGCCGTCAGAAGCACCAAAACAAACAGTCTGACACTAGAAAGGCAGGTAATCATCAGTGGAAGAAGCAGTTACAACAGAGCAGCATTTGTACATGCAATTTTTCTCATAAAGCACCCTGATTTTAATTTAGTTGTAACAGGCTGCTTGCCTCCTTTTTTCTGAATCTGCAGTTTCCGACACAAATCTCATTAGGCACAGCTGAAAAGCATTCCAAATGTGCAGCACATTGTCTCACTATGCACTCAGCTTAGTGGCTGGTTGGTGAAAGCTGTAACCTTTCAGTCTACAGTTGAAGGATTGGTTAACTGTTGCTCATTTCATTCATCGAGAAACAGCAGATCAAGTGGTTTGGCCATCTCATTAGAATGCAGCAAAGATCAAATGTCATCACAGAGACTTCACCTCAGAAGATCAACTACAAGAGCAAGAGGACAGCCATGAAAAAAATGGATCAACAACATTAAAGACACTACACCTTCATGGCTTGACAATAGCCAGTAGCAGCCAATGTGTACTGGATCACAGATTACTCCTCCCCACGACGCTTAACGGCAGAATTGGTGTGATGATGGTTGTTTTTAAAAAAAACAGTAAACCTAATCGGCCTGTCCTCCATATTGACCAAGAGTTTTTTGTTTTTAGTTTTTTTTAAGTGATAGCATTTTTAGGTTTTTTTTTTTTTTTGCAAAATGGGGAGGGTTGGCTTCATGGCATTGGATTTTATTTTTTCTGGCTCAGTCTTTCTCTGAAGAGCAGATGGCTGGCTGCTAAAAGTGTGTTGCACAAAACACATTTCGTAACCTCAGCAGTAACCCCCCAAATATTTCCAACTGAATGAAGGAATCAGTCAGTGAAGAAATGACATCACTGTACTCTGGACAGGCATATGTGTACCATCTCCTTCCTTGGTAGCCAGCAAACACTTCCACTACGGTTGGTGCCACCTGCAACCTGATTAAAAGTTCCCCAAAAAAATGTCCCACTCCAGGTTAAGCAAAACAATTTTAAGAACGTTTAGACCCTATTCTAACTCTTCACTGGATAGTCCCTTAAGGGAGTGTTTCTCCAACTATGTGCCGCAGCACCCAGGGGTGCCACAAGCGAATGTCAAGGGTGCCACGACAATAATGAAGAATTTTTCAAAATCTGTTTGAGATCAGCAAAGACAGAAGTTTAAGACATAAATACAGTGAAGAAAGCCAAGAAAAATTCTGGATGCAGATGTATACAGAAGACAATGCTTTTGACAAAGCTGTAGCGCATTATCAAGATACACTTACATAAAAAACAGATACAGGAGCAAACTTTCTGAGTCAAGTAATCTGAATGTAAAATTAACTAAACTTCCCATAAATATAAAGGAAATAATGAAAAATTCATCCAAGTAGTTTCATTCATCACATTAAAGACAAATGAACATTACATGTGCACTGTTGTTTCTTATTTTCCTAAGTATTCAACCTGCTTTAAGGGGTAGGTGTGCCACAAAATTTTTTTGGGTGCCGCAGAGAAAACAAGTTTGAGAACCGCTGCCTTAAGGTATTGATACTCTGTCTCTTCTGTGGCACTGTTCACTTGATCCCAGAGAACTGTCACCATACTGAACTGCTTTATCATGATGTAGCTTGGTGCTGAAAGGGTCGACAGTGCTGAGTCAGTCTGTCTCCTCATTACTCCACACATGCCCTAGTCTCCATAAGAGCCTAATGCTATAATCAGAACATGAGCCATTCGCCTTGATGTCAGGTGTTGAATGGCCTAATCTATTTTACACTATGTATTGCAATACATTAATGTGTGTCAGCTGCGGTGTGAAGGTGTGTCGAGTGAACATAAAGCTGCGTTTGATAGGTTTGGCAAGCTCTGACTTTAACCTGTTTGCTGCAGAGACACCCGAGTGATGGGTCTTGGCAACAAACATGATAGGTTTGGCAAGTTCTGACTTTAACCTGTTTGCTGCAGAGACACCCGAGTGATGGGTCTTGGCAACAAACATGATAGGTTTGGCAAGCTCTGACTTTAACCTGTTTGCTGCAGAGACACCCGAGTGATGGGTCTTGGCAACCTCTTTTTCTTCTTCTTCACTTTCTATTTTACTGCGTCATGTGTAGAGGGAGTGATAAGGCTCTGCTTCTTGCTCTTCTGGCCACCTCAACCATAGACACATCTTGCTGTTGTAGAGTTTCTCTGATGTTATTTTACCATCTTTTTCTTAGTCTGCCTCTGCAACCTTCTTCTCTTTTGGGTATGCCTTCTATGATAAGTCATCACAAGGTATTCTCTCTAAGTGGGCAGACCATTTGACTTGCTGTCTTTGTATGTTATTTACAGTTGGTTCTGTCCTGACTTTTTATCTTTTGGCCTTATTTCTGGTTTTATCTCTTCTGAGGTAAAAAAAAAAAAAGTCTCCAACTGAATGGTAGGCCAACAAGGCTGGTCTCAGACACACTGTTCAACCTATAAAGAAATATAATAAAGACATACTTCAATGACTACACCAGCCAGGAACTGTGGTCCTGAGCCAGTAAGGACTATCCCAGATGAATAGGATTGACATTCTTCTTCTTCTCAAAGTCCATGCTGTGTGGCGCTGGTAATCATGTATATCCACAACCTTCTGTCTTGTGTACTTTCAGTCAACTCTGACACAGATGATCTTCCATGCCATGATGACAAACTGTCCAGCATCTGTTCTCTCGATCTCCCGCTGCCTCTCTTCCCCTCGAGCTTTTCTACTGTCACAATGTATTCCAGTTTTCTCCTTCTCATCACATGACCAAAGAATGCAGATTGTCTCTTTCTTATCTGGGCAATCAGTTCTCTTCGGGAGTCAGTTTCTTTCAAGTTGTCTTCATTACTCATTTTATCTGTCCAGGGTATTCTCATCATCCGTCTATAAAACCACATCTCCTCGGCTTCCAAATAAGTTTTCACTGATTTACTAACTGTCCATGATTCACATCTGTATATCAATACAGGATTTATATTGCTTTTGAGAATTCTTTTCCTCGTCATAATTGACAAAGAAAGATGGCATAAAATATTCTTCATTTTGTCAAACGCTGCCTTTGCTTGAGCTATTCGACATTTAACTTCCTTAATACTTCTTCCGGTGCTTTATTTATATCCTACCCCAAACAGGGGAAATCCACAGGTCACCGGACAGTCTGATATTTCATGGGTTGGTAGATAGGCTGCATGCAGTCGTGGGACCTAGGCTGCATGCAGTCGTGGGACCTAGGCTGCACTCTCTTGTGGGACATAGGTGAGTTGTGGTTAGGGCCAGTTCTAGATGTTTTGGGGTCGTTGAAATCATCAGAAAGCTGGGAAACCCAGTCTTACCACCCTCTAAAATGTTGGCCATCTTCCATTAGATGTTATCAGCCTACCTAATTAGTGATTGACCAATCATATTGACCCTATTTGACACTATGAGGAGCATACCATTGAGAAAGCTCTAACAGACTTTTTGGTCAATTAGTGATTGATATGTCCTCAATCAGTGATTGATATGTCCTCAATCAGTGATTGATATGTAAAGTAAAGAACCCTTTTCCACGCCTTTAGGGCTAGACCTATATTTGTAAAGACCAATGGGCACAAGATGGGTGAAGTGGTCAGCATCACGCCGGCCACTTTTATCTTTTGGGATTGCACCCAGTACCCAGGGTCGACCTGGGAGCCAAGGTCATTTTTGAAAAAAAAGTCCGGCCATGCCAGGGAGCAAACCCACGACCTTTCGATCCGTGGCCAGCGTCTAGCTGCACCTCCACGATGACTAGTGATTGAAATCACCAAATGATATTCTCATCCGATTTCTTTTTTTCCCCAAATTAGGTCAAGAGAAGCAGAGTAGCCGTGGCAGCAACGTACGGACGCTTATATGCTATTGGTGGATACGACGGACAGACGAATCTCAACTCGGTGGAAATGTACGACCCACACACTGACGAGTGGAAGTTTGTGAAGAACATGTCAGCCCATGAGGGCGGTGTTGGCGTTGGAGTTATTCCGATGGATTCCTTCGGGGAAGAGGGGACACATTTCAATGATAACAATCATGAAATTTAGCTCTTATATCTGTTTGTCCTGTTGCTGTTGTCCTTGCTGCTGCTGTCTGTGTTATCTTTTATACTTCTTCAGCTTTTGCAGATTTATAACTTTGCATTAGAATTACTGATATTATGGCACTTGCCCATAAGTGCTTCTTCCCCATTAGAAGAAGTTGAAAAGTATTTATACTTATAATGTCTTGTTAATGTTCATCGGCGGTGACCTCCAATGGAATATTCTGGATGTTCATCCCCTCCTGGGACATGGTCCTGTTCCAGAACTTCATTTTGCAAGCACAGCTGTTTTACGAGTTTGGCTTATTTATGTGCAGACTGTGGTTCTCCCACTCTCAGGGGCATGCACTCTGACATCAAAGGCAAAACCTCTAATCAGCAGCCTTTTACAGCATGCTTGTTTAGCCATGCAGTGGGTCTCTTCTTCCCCTCCCCCCCCCCCCCCTTCCCTAAAAAAGTGGGACCTGAAACCCATATGTGCATCTTTGACCCGCAGTGTCCGGGCAGTTCTGTAGAACATGCTCTGGAGTTTTATTTGTTGACCCCACAATCACATACAGCAGAGTTGACAAGATGTTGCATGTAATATTCTTCTTCTTTTGTCTTCTTCTTCTTCTTCGTCTTCATTTATCCTTTAAAAAATTAGTCTGCACATTTTGTTGTGGTTTAGAGAGCTAGGTTGTGATATCAGCACCTTTGGGCTTAACACATTCAATTTCTTCAATCCCCTAATTAATCACCTCTTATGTCATCCTTTTTGAGGGGGGTTGGGGAGGTCAGTAAGTTTTCTTTTTCCTCTGAAAATGGGACAGCTAAATCCACTCTGGCGTATCCTATTCAGCGTTAGAAATCAACCCCAGCACTTGTTGGCTGTTTCTAGTTGTACCAGCCAGTTATACATGTAGTTTGTTATTGGTTCTCCACATCAGGAGGAGGCAGGCTATACTCTTTTGACCTGTCATGAGAAGAGGAAACCGGAGTACACTGTGATGGGAGCAAAGCTAGAGGGGAAAAGAGGCAGAAGGAGACTGCCGAGAGAGAGAAGATGCTGGACAGTCTGACATCATGGCTTGGAAAATCATCTGTGTCAGAATTGATTGAAAGTACACAAGACAGAAGGTTGTGGATAGACATGACTACCAGCGCCACTCTGCATGGGCTATAAGGAGACGAAAAAGTTTGTTAGAGCTTTCTGAAGGGTATGGTCCTCGTATTGTCGAAATCAGCGCAAAGTTATTGCTAGCCAATTGCCTGTAGACGACTTGAAACCCTGGTGTGTTAGAGTCATTGAACTGTGTTCACATACCCTAAGCCTTTTAACCTTCTGCTTTTCATCTCCCAGCGGAGCACAGGCCCTGAGCCAGCCAGCACTAAACCTTGGTGACTTTTTGATTTTGTCCTTCTAGTTTTGCCCTTAGCTCGTGCAATGCAAACCCCTGCACCATATGACCAGATAGTGAGAAGGTGTACAATTTAGTGACAACTCATACAGATTTATACTGGTGACAGCTCTGACAAACTGTAGTACACATTACTTACCTTCTTCTCTGCCATTCTTCTGTTACAGTCATCAACTGTGTTACTGAATTCTTTCTGTGTCATTCTTGTGTTAGGTTAAACTCAGTAAGATGCTACCAAGTAAAGGACCTTCCAAGTTTATCGATGTAGTAGAAGTTGACATGTTAACCAATCAGAACAAATGTATAAGTTGACCCTTAGTAACAAAGTTTACAAGAGACGACCCTGAGTATGAAATGTTGACCAGAAAGTGAAAAAAATTCACCTCTTTCAGCACTAGGGAACCCACTGTAGCTTTATTGATTACTCCGTGTGTGGTGGGTATACCTTGCTGAACTTCTCCTCTGCCATTCTTCCGTTACAGTCATTTACTTCGCTAGTTTTGTACTTTGTATCATAAACTGGTGGCGTAGCAACATGCGCAGAGTACAGCTAGTTGTATTATAATTACTTAGTGAGATGCTAAAAGGCTGGCACAGTGTGATGTGGTTTGTAGCGTGGCTGTGATATCTGCCTCTTTCAGTCTAATATGTCAGGCTAAAACATTGGGAGGGTCTCTATGGCGAAGTGGTCGAGCCGTTTGCTTCCTGCTCTGAAGGTTGTGGGTTTGATTTACAGCAGCACCTTTCAGTTCACCAGCACAATTGTTGTGGATCGTCGCCGCAGCTACGGAGGTGCTCTGTGCGACGCTCTCAGCGGGCAGCTAGCTGTTCCGCAGAGAGAGACTGAGCTAAAGATTGTTGACCCTTTAACAACCATGTTGTTAAAAAGCAGATTCAGCCAAATTTGTTGTGTTTGGCCAAAGATGCAGCTGTCACACTCTAGCTGTAAATCGTAGTGCCAGCCACTTTTTTGGTGGCGAACTAAAAAAGAAGAGCTTACCTTATGCCCTGGTGGCGTATTGGCTAATTTTTCATTTGTATCATTTCTTCCTATCATTCTTGTGGATTTTTTGTTTTCTTAAATATACCAATTCTGCACAAATTTTATTTTTATGGGTGTTTAGTAGACAGATTTGTTTCCCAAATGTATATATACATATGTGTATACAAACATACATACATATATGCAGCACAAGCATTTATTTAATACGTGCATGAGCGTTTGGCAGACAATTTTGGAAATTGTCTGGTAGTCAATTTATGATGCTGGGTTGATCCCACCGCTGTACTTGTTGACAACTTCCTCCCATTTTTAGGAAGACATCATAGTATATCAAAAATCTTCTTTGTTTCATTCTCCCTGCCAGTGGTTTTCAGATGAGAAGGCCCAAAGCTACTGTGAAGTCTGTGGTTGAAATGTATTTCTTCCACCAATCCACAGAGCTTACTTTCCAATGAAATGCTAACTGGGCAAACATGTAGAGAGCAGTGGTGAATGTCTGTAGCACATGTTTAGTATTCTGTTCTGCCTGACCACAAGGGCAGAGTTCTGAATCTCCATTCATTAAGTTCTTGTACATATATGGCTGGAAAGTCTGTTGTGTCAAGTATGCAGTCTAAATGTAATTGTTCTGTTTCTTAAGATTTGAACATAAAACACTAACTAGTCATTCTTGTGTTGTGTTCTTCTGTGTTCTCACTTATGATTGGCTAGTTATGTTGTGGTTTACAGCTAGGCTACATTATCTGCTACTTTCGGCTCAAGACATCAAATGTCATCAGGCCCTTACTTAGTTGTCTTTTATAACATGCTTGTTATTGGGCAGTGAGTCTGTTCTCTCTGGGTTTTTTTTTTTTTATATAATGGGCCTTGCTAAACCCACACAAGGGATTACTTGTGTTCAAAAACAAAACTGTTCTTCTTTATTGCCATGACCAGACATCTCAAGCACCTGGCGTTCATTGGCTGGTCTGTCATTTGAATGTCAGCTCTCGTATCTTGAGGATCTGGTTCAAAAAATACAACTGTGTTCTGTTTGATTGCCATGACCAGACATCTCAAGCACCTGGCGTTCATTGGCTGGTCTGTCATTCGAATGTCAGGTCTCGTATCCTGAGGGACTGGATTTTGATCCTAAGAATCCTTTGTGTTAGATAATTGATAAATGTAAAAGAATAGACAAATAATGAAGTTTAAGTGATGGACTGTTGGTTATTATTGGCTGTTGGAGGGAGAGTGCCCATTCTGTTCTGTTACGCGACCCACTTAACTTTTTTTTTTTTGCGTAATCACTAAAATGGATCAGGAATGAAGTCTTAACAGAAAAATTCAGCCCAAATTTCACCGTCTGTCACTTGAAATGCAATTTATAGCTGAATAAGCAGCAGTACTGACAAGCAAGGGAGTCGCCGTGGCATAGCGGCTAGACGCTCCCGTGCGGATTAGAAGGTCGCAATTTGTTCCCTGGCAAAGCCGGGCTTTGTTCAAAAAATGACCTTGACTCCCAGGTCGACCCAGCCTTGAGTGGGCACCGGTGCAGTCCCAGAAAGTAAAGGCGGCCGGCATGATGCTGACCACATTATCCATCTTGTGCCATTTGGTCTATAAAAAATATAGGTCTAGCCCTAGATGCCCTATACGCCTAAAGGCATGGAAAAAGGACGTTTACTTACTTTACTGACAAGCAAGCAGGTGTGCAAGCATTAGTGCGCTAAGTACACTGCCACTCCAGTGGTTACCAGCCATTACACATTTTCTAAAAATATGCAGTTTACAAAGTGAATGTTTCTGTCACATGACAGCAGTTTACAAAGTGAATGTTTCTGTCACATGACAGCAGTTTACAAAGGGAATGTTTCTGTCACATGACAGCAGTTTACAAAGTGAATGTTTCTGTCACATGACAGGAGTTTACAAAGTGAATGTTTCTGTCACATGACAGCAGTTTACAAAGTGAATGTTTCTGTCACATGACAGCAGTTTACAAAGTGAATGTTTCTGTCACATGACAGCAGTTTACAAAGTGAATGTTTCTGTCACATGACAGCAGTTTACACAGTGAATGTTTCTGTCACATGACAGCAGTTTACAAAGTAAATGTTTCTGTCACATGACAGCAGGAAAGAGCTATACAGATCACGTCAGTCTGGCAAATATTTTCAACCATGCGTCATGATTATCATTGTATTCCCTTGTTCTCATGTACATACAAATTTTATTTATTTATCCACTAAAACGCCATGTGTTGTTAGTTCAGATTTCATTTATTACTACCATTGATTGTATTTTCATAATTCACATTAAAGAATGTGGCTAATTTTAGTATGTTGTTTCACAAACTGTTATCTTGAACTTCAGTGTATCAAGGCCATTAACAAAATAAGATAACAGAATGTTGTGTTGTGTACATCACTGCACATTGGGCATTCCCATACATGCTCAGTTCTCCAATGCAGCAGCCATTCCGAGATACCTCTGCTGGTTGTTCCCATTCGGAATTGGTTATAACAGTGATTTCCAAACTGTGTGCACAGGAAACCTTCGACTTCTTCACAGGGGCGCCACGAAAAATTTAGAAAGCTTCATAATTATTTTAACCAAGAC